CAGAACCCTCTAGATCACATTAAAGCTCTTATATCTCTCCTTTGAAATGAAACTCTTGTCCATTTCTTGAACCAAAAATCTACAGGCACTCACCTTGCTTAGCAGGAGCACATCAATGAAATTCAAGCATTTAGCCTTGGCCTTGGCCTTGATGAAGTCATCAATGCCCTGGGCTGATAGAGTATGGCGTCGCTCCTGAATAGTAGCAAGTGTGAAGTCATGCACCAGGCGGCATGCTCTACGGAAGCGCCATCCATCGTGAGTGAGGTGAAATAGGAAATCCCAGTGCAGGAAGGCATTCTGGTACCTTTTTGCTGCAATGTCACTGAGCTCCAAGACAGCAGCAATATATTCACTGGGTTTCCTGCAAGACAGGACAAGAAGGAAGGCGCATATCTAAAGCCCTGGACTCATCTACAACCCAAATGCCAACACTTCTTCCAATTAGGATGTGCCTCCAGGAGGAGGTAATTCCAGAGATGCATGGTATTGTTAAGCCAGGAGACATGACTCTCTAACCTTTCTCCTCCCTGCTATCCATAACTGGGACTTGTTTCCAGACCCCAGGAATGACGTAGAGGTTGGACATCATGTTCATTACTCTCACTGACTTCTCCTTTCCAAAGTCTCCACACAATGTATGCTTCTTCCTCTCTGAACCAACCCCTGGCTCATCCTCCTGCCTGATTCCCTACCAATGTTAACACCATCCAGCATCTTCATAACCATCAATCTTCCAGAAACACAGATTTATGAAGTTTAGCTCTGCAACACCCTGCCTCTGCTTAAACACACACAATGTGTCTATGGAGACCACAAGATAAAGGTTATATCTTTTTATCTCATTTTTAATATCCTGAAGACCTAGCCCCTGCCTACTTTTCTAACCTCATTTGAAAGGTATCTTCTTTTATCTATCTGTTACACATGCTTTGGCTCTCCTAGCTGTGTAACCTTTACTAAAACGTGTCTATCTACTTGGAAGGACCTTACCTTCTGTCTCATTATCTGTGTTTTAATTGCCCAGTTCTGGCCCACCAACTCTAGGAAAGTTCTTCTGATGACCCTGGTCAGTCTTCTCTCCCAACTTACTCCCTTGAATCATTGGCTCAAGTTCCCAAATCCAGGCTTCACAAACTCACTCCTGGCAGTGACTGTCCATGTTGAAGACACATTTCTGTAGACTGTCCAGTGTCATGAGGCTGATGTGCTCAGACATGTTGAGATAGGTATTACCACCAGAGGCTAGCCGCTGCCACTTAGCCTAACCAGAAAAAAAGGACAGAGCTGAAGCTGACATATGTTTATTCTAGGACCCCTTCCACAACTCAAATTACAAAGATGAACTTCACCTAGAACCCAACTTCTTCATTCTCTGTCCAATGATCCAGACCCTGAGTGGACTACCTTCACTGGGGTGGAAGTTATCGTATTAAGGTGAAAAGAGGCCTTTACTGGGAGTCAGGAGACCTCAATACAAGTCCAAAGTCTGCCCCTTATGTTCCATGTCCAATTGATGAACTCATTGACTCCACTAAGGTCATAAGGTCACTAACAGTTACGATGACCTTTCCCAATGTCACATGCAACAGATTGTAATCTCAGCTGTACCATTTACACACCCACGCAGAAAATGATTAAACAGAAACAAGCTCATTTCTCCCAGCCATATCTCTCACCAAGCATCATTATCTCAGTTACTGTTGTTTACTGGGTGCCATCAATCTGTCTCACACTCACAGTGTTCCAATGTATTAAAGAATGAATTCTTGTCCATTCTTTTGCCAATCTTACAATTTTTATTATGTTTGAACCCCTTGTTTCAGCCACTCTATCAACCTTCATCTATAATGGGCCAAGAATAAGCCTCTCTCCCTCACAGAGTTGCAAAAATAAAATTTGTCAATCTATATCACAATAGGAGAGCTCTGGTAGCCTAGTTGCAAGAAACTGCATTGCAGTCTCGAAAGCATGCAGTTCTAGGCCACCAGCTGCCCCATGGAAGCAGGATGGACAATCTCCTCCCCTACAACTAACTGCCTCTGAAAATCCACTGGAGGGTCAGCTATAGGTTAGTTCCAACTCTATGGGACACTACAACATATCAATATTTCCAGAATGGCCTAAAGTGCAGGCTAGGTTTAGAAGAGGCCATGGTACTAGGGATATTATAGATAATGTTAGATGGATCTTTTCTGAAAGCAAGGATACCAGAAGAAAGTCTATCTGTGTTTCATTGACTATGCAAAAGCATTTGACTGTGTATCTCATACAAATTGTGGCTGACTCTGAGAAGAATGGGAATATCAGAACACTTGATTGTGCTTATGTGAAACCTACACTTCGACCAGGAGGCAGTCGTCAGAACAGAGCAAGGGAACACTGCATGGTTCAAAGTTGGGAAAGGTGTGCACCAAGGAAGTGTCCTATCTCTATATCTTTTCAATCTATACAAGGAACAGATTCTCTGGGTGGCTGAGCTTTATGAGGAGAAACGTGGCATCAGGATTGGAGGTAGACTTATCAATAATCTGTGTTATGCAGATGACACTACCCTACTTGCTGAAACTGAGGAGGACCTGAAGTGCTTGCTGCAGAAGGTTAAGAACTGCAGCCTTCAATATTGATTGAAGCTCAACATCAATAAAACAAAAATTCTCACCACTGGGCCAATACACAGGATCATCATAGATGGTGAAGTGATTGAGATTGTTAACAGCTTCAATTTGCTTGGCTCTATAATCAACTCTCTTGGTACCAGCAGCCAGGAAATTAAAAGACAAATTGCAGTGGCAAAGTCTGCTGTCAGAGACCTCTCAAAGAGCAACGATGTCAGTCTGGAGACTAAAGTGCACGTGATCCAGGCCATAGTCTTTGCAATTACTTGCTATGCATCAGAATGCTGGGCAATGACTAGGGGTGACAAGAGAATTGATGCCTTTGAGCTGTGGTGCTGGCGAAGAGTATTGAATATACCATCGACTGCTAAGAGAACAAACAGGTTCGACATGCAGAGGGTGAAACCAGGCTGCTCCTTGGAGGCAAAGATTCTGAAGTTTCACCTGACATACTTTGGACATGTTGCAATGCAGTATCTGTCCTTGGAGAGGGATGTCATGTTTGGGAGGATGGAGGGACAGCCCAAGAGAGGAAGACATTTGATGAGGTTGGTTGATTCAGTGACTGCAGTAATGGGGGTAACTGTATCAGAGACAATAAGATTGGCATAGGATAGAGTAGGGTTTAGGGCTATTGTACATAGAGTCAATATGAGTCATAGGCAACTAAATGGCACATAACAACAACACACCAACTATATATATATCTATATTATCTATCTATCTATCTATCTATCTATCTATCTATCTATCTAT